GAATTCTTTGCCTTATATCACTTGCTTGACTGTGAGCACTGACCATCTCTCTCTGAATTCTTTGCCTTATATCACTTGCTTGACTGTGAGCACTGACCATCTCTCTCTGAATTCTTTGCCTTATATCACTTGCTTGACTGTGAGCACTGACCATCTCTCTGAATTCTTTGCCTCATATCACTTGCTTGACTGTGAGCACTGACCATCTCTCTCTGAATTCTTTGCCTCATATCACTTGCTTGACTGTGAGCACTAACCATCTCTCTGAATTTTTGTGGGTACTTTCTTAGTGAACTTGGGTTTTTGCCATTTCTTATTTTGTTTAAAATTTTTAGATTGCCAATTTTTTGAATGACTTCCAAACCCATGAGATACTTGTGTGAAATATGTTTAGTGATTTTTTTTAGAATTCTTCAAACTAAAGCAACAATTTTTCAAAACTGTTTTAAGCATTATGTTCTATACACTTTCACATTTGGATGTAAAAGGATATATTTGTCATATAAATGGTGAACTGGCCTTGAGAACACGCTCTTATTTGTGTTTCTTTGCATATACTTCAGCTGAAATTATGTGCCAAGAGACGTCTGTTTTTCGAGTTCTGCTTGAAATGTTGTTCATACTGTATTTTATATAATTTTAATGATTTGTAGGTCCCTATTGTTAAACTTACTGATACCAAGACAGATGTGAAAGTAGACATCAGTTTCAACACGAATAACGGAGTTAAAAGTGCCCAACTCATCAAGGTAGGTTTTCATGGATATTTAAAATACTGGCAACAAATTAAAAATAATTGAAGCTAGATTAAAATCATTATCTGAGTTAAAAGAACAAAAAAGCTAGATAAAAAAAATGTCATTGTTAGGATTTTAAACTATGAAGGAATAAATATTAAGCAGTTTTAATCTTTTATCTATAACTTTTTGTTCCTTGTCTTTGAGTAATGTTCTGTTGTTAATTTTAATTCTAAAAAATCTGACTGGTAATAATTGTATTTCATTTGCTTAATCTGGTTCCCACCATAGCAATCATTATTCATGAAAATTAGTAATATATAGTGCGTAAACCACTAATACATGTCGCATCCCAGTCGATCTGATGGGTCCTAATATTGGGTATGAGGCCTTGTCAGTGCTAGATGTAACAGATGTAGTGTGATTGAATTGACGTGTTAACACATTCTCCTTTAACTTCTTAGAATTAGAAAAAAATTGTTTCTGTGGAATTATATACTAATTAAATTTCAATTTCAGATGTTTTAAAGTTTTTTCAGATGTGTGTAAGTAGAGGTTTACCTATTTTAATTTTAACAAAATTAAGCTGAAATATGTTTTAAAACTGTACTTCATTTGATTGATTTGTTTTCTCTTTTCTTTTTTTTAATTTGTTAATCATTAATTTTCCAGGACTTCAAGAAAAAATTCTCAATCCTGCCAAAGTTGGTGTTTGTCTTGAAGCATTTTCTACTTCAGAGAGATTTGAATGAGGTTTTTACGGGAGGAATTAGCTCTTACAGCCTCATCCTGTTAACAATCAACTTCCTACAGGTTATTGTTTTAAAACTATTGTTAGGAAAATTGCATGAATGATAAATCATTATACAAAAGTTTGTGATTAAGTGTACTTCCATTAACAAAATCTGCTTATTTCATTATATTGGAGCCCTAAAAATACAAAGGTGATGTCAATTTGAAAGTGAGCTGTAAGGATAAGTTTTTATTATAAACAATACTCAATGATATACAGAAAAAAAAATAATTTATCACTCGCCATCATTAGAATAAATGTTTATTGTAGAGTTTTCTCACTAATTTAAAACTGACAGTAATTTAAGATGAAAAGAATCGTAAGTTATGACATTGTTGAAAATAAATGCATGTTGAACTTTTCAGTTTAAAACTTTTCTCTTTCTTGATGAATGGATAATTACAAAAATGAAACATTTGTGAGTGTATAATATTGAAATGTTTATGACATGTTCAAAAATTGTGCGTGTAGTTAAACCTTGACAAAATTTGCTATAAATAAACTCTCTCCCTAATGGAACATTTTGTTTCTCATAATTTATTGAGATTCAGGAATTACGTGTTGGAATTCATAATAAAAGGAAGAGTTTTTAACTCTACAATATTCCTTTCTATAAACTCCAAGGTATTTCAAGTAATGTTTTTACATGACTTACTAAAAAAAATATAAACTATCATCTTGTTACTAAGATAAGTCTTTTTTTTTAATAACAACACAGCCCAGTGATTAACAGCTTAATTCAAGAAAATAATAACACAGGCCTGCGAATTTAAACTTCATAAAAGTTGTTTTGGTTTTAATAACAAATTTTTCTTAATTCAGCTACGCAGGTTTTGAAAATAATATTCATTTTCTTCTACCATGTAAGGATTTTTTACAAATCACAAAGAAGAAAAACTCTTGGATAAAATTATTATTTTGTTTACCACAATGAATATTTTTCATTGTTATATTTGAGTTCTAGAACAATCGATAAGACTCTCGCGTAATGATTGGTCTACAGAAATCTATAGCCAGTGGTTGTCAACATTTTAAACAAAATGTGACCCGATTTCAATGAAAATGATTCCCTTATGTAAAAGTAAATACGACGTTTTGTGAAAAATTTGTACGTGATGGAGAAAAATGGATATCATTATCGGATTCAGTGTACAAGAATTACTGTAGAACATGTAAAAATTTCAAGACAATAAAAACATTGCAGGCCTGTGTAATTAAATATGTGATGTTAAAATAGGTAATTAGTATATTATTAAACAATTCTTACCCTAATCTTGATGTGTTCTGACATACACCTCACCATAACAGTTGCTATTCAAGCATTTTGCTAATATAAATAGGCTTAACTACTACTGTATCTGTCATATTCCAGCCTGGTAACACGCAGTAGGATATGGTTGACATATTGTTATACATTCTTTACTTTCTCTGAAAAGTTCTTATTAATAACTAAATATAAATTGATCTGACAAAAATTGTTGTTAGCAAAACATAATATTGTGCCTAATAAAGATAACAGTTTCTTGTTATTAAAAGGTAGGATCATTGTTCACTGATAGATGTCAGTCGCATCGTATTTGTAGCAGGAAGTCGACTGCTTCATTCATGAAATTAAATTATTAAACAAAATATATTAATGAATATCAAACAAGTTAAAAATAATTGGATGTATAAAATGGACCTTTCCAATTTAAAAAAGTGTTTTATAAAAATCTTAAAAAATGACAAACTGAATAATATATGAATTTTTTTCACGCAGATTTTAAACTGTTTGGTTTTATTAGATTAAGTATTTTGTGAGAGATGAAAACAACAGGGTATCATTGAAAAGGGTTAAGTGTTTTTGTTACAAGCTAATTACTTGGACTGTAACAAAGGTTCAGAACATGACGGTTTCAACATTCAAGGGTTAAGTCTTTTTGTTACAAGCTAATTAATGGACTAACAAAGGTTCAGAACATGAATGTTTTAACATTCAAGGGTTAAGTGTTTTTGTTACAAGCTAATTACTTTGACTGGAACAAAGGTTCAGAACATGAAGGTTTCAACATTCAAGGGTTAAGTGTTTTTGTTAGAAGTTAATTAATGGATTGTAACAAAGGTTCAGAACATGAAGGTTTCAACATTCAAGGGTTAAGTCTTTTTGTTACAAGCTAATTAATTGACTGGAACAAAGGTTCAGAACATGAAGGTTTCAACATTCAAGGGTTAAGTCTTTTTGTTACAAGCTAATTAATGGACTAACAAAGGTTCAGAACATGAATGTTTTAACATTCAAGGGTTAAGTGTTTTTGTTTACAAGCTAATTACTTTGACTGGAACAAAGGTTCAGAACATGAAGGTTTCAACATTCAATAATACTAACTTGCATAATTTACTAATCATGACTAATAATTTATATTTGATAATAAAAAATTCATAATCTTTATATATATATACATACACATATTGTTGTTGGTACATGCCACAATCTTGTAGGCACGTACAGTAAGCTTGCATTACAATAAACACCTAATGCCGCTAATTAGAAGAGTAACAACTGACTTAAGCAAAACAGTGTTAAAAATGTTGATTAATTAAACATAATAATAACTAAACAGCAAGAGTAATACCAACAGTTGGATTAAAAAATGGGATCGTAAAGTTTAACGAACTGGTAAGAGAGAGTGTTATTATCAGTCACATTTTTTAACACCATTGTTGATTAATTGGACATATTCCTTAGAGAGGTGAGAGTTATGCTGGTGCTCCTTTTTCAACATGAAAATTATTAGTGTTAGTGTATATTTAGTGTTTCATACTTATTCTTCCATAACACTTTTCAACATGAAAATTATTAGTGTTAGTGTATATTTAGTGTTTCATATTTATTCTTCCATAACACTTTTCAACATGAAAATTATTAGTGTTAGTGTATATTTAGTGTTTCATATTTATTCTTCCATAACACTTTTCAACATGAAAATTATTAGTGTTAGTGTATATTTAGTGTTTCATACTTATTCTACCAGAACACTTTTCTTGCATCTTGTACACTTTAATGAGACAGTTGCTAAACAGTCCCCACCCCACTCAGGTTTCATCATAATGGTCTGTTACAGTGTACTGAGGGTGTTACGTTATAATCATTTGGTGGTGGGCATTGTATAAATCAAGAGGTCAAATTGTTTGTATGATTGACATTTAGTGTGTTATTACTATTCAAACATTGTCAAATGGTTTCTACTTAACAAGATAAAAAAATCTGAAACTGCTTGAATACTGCCTGACAAACCTTTGAATTCCTGGCTAGCAAACAGTGCTGTTCAAAATATGTTACTTTTAATATTCTATGTTAAAGGATGATTTTTTTTTTAGCTATATCTGTAATAATCACAATTGTCAATTTGTGTTTTCTATTTTTTCAGTTGCATCCAACGTATGACCCTACTTGTCTCACAACAAACGTGGGAACTTTACTTATTGAATTCTTTGAGTTATATGGTCGGCATTTCAACTACTTCAAGACGGGAATCCGTGTAACGGATGGGGGAGCTTATGTGGCAAAGGAAGAAGTGCAGAGGGGAATGACAGATGGTTCACGGCCATCAATACTATGTATAGAAGATCCTCTAACTCCAGGTTAGGCATAGTTAGAATTGTTTGGGAAAACTATGGAAACACCTTGGTCAAAAAAATACTGTTATTGGGGGAGGGGTTATTGGGAGCTTTTCAATCGTGTTTTTCAAAATTTGGCATTCAGTATATAGTTTAACTTCTGTTCTTTATATCAGTGTATCTTCCATTTTTAGAACATGTACAAGTTCAGAGTTTGGGAATTGCCAAAAAATAAAACTTGTACCTAAGAGCATTTACACTGACTGTCAACTTTTACATAATGTGAATTTTTAAGATCCCAGCCAGTCAGAAAACCACCCAAAATTAGTTTTTGGCTAAAATAAAATTAATATTTCACAATAATTTTATCTGTGTAAAAATACCATAAAAACCGGATAACACTGACGTACGTAAAAAAATCCAGCTGTTTCAAAATCAGTTTTCCATTTTTTGCACGGTGCGAGTAAGCCCAAAGTTACGAAAAGGCCAGAACCACGTGAAGAACATAAATACAAAAATAAAAGAATCTGCCAAAGCTGTGAAATTTCTTTACATTGTGATCCTCCAGCTATATGTACAGCAAAACATTGTCATATTATCCACCCAAGTAGACGTGGAGTAGTGCAAAGAATCCAAAAGCCAGTAAAAACGAGAAGAATGATGAGACGATCAACATATAGCGTAGCTAATCGAGAGAGGCTCATTGATGGATTACATGAATTGTCTTTTAATGATGGAACAGATTCTTCCAGTAGTAGATTAAACAATCTTGACAAATGTTTGAGATCTTTGGACACTCGGTGATTTTCCAAAGAATGGTATCAAAGGAGAAAAACTAGTTGAGCCTGGGAGAACTCGAATGAGAGTTTTACAAGCGTTTACTTTCACTAATTATGCATAACATCATTGGAACTAAAATAATTAATAGTTGCTAAATTCTAAGCATTCCGAATCTTTCCTTTGATTTTATTGAAAGTCTAGAAGTAACCGATCATTTTTACCTATTTCTCCACGACCAGAAAGGATTTTTAAATTCTGAAAGTTGGTCTTGCCTTTTTAGACCATTTAACGCCTATTGCGCCCTTTCCCATTTATTTTTGATACTTTTTTGTAAAAAGTACGCACGACAGCCCCAAGGGGTGGGTTTCTTGCTGACCAGGATCTTAATAATATCTCAAATTTATTATTGTAAAAGCACATGTATTATAATGACTTCTCAAGATTTAAATTACCTAAGTCTTTCTGGCTGTATAATTATGCTAGAGTTATTAATTATTAAAATACTATACACCAGTTCTAAATTACTTACTGTTTTAATCGTTCTTTAAGTTTTTTCAAACTTTGGAAACTCGCTATAAGAAAGAAATTGATTATGAGAAGTGTGTGATCATTAAAAAATCTACTTAACCATCATTCAGTACAACTAACTAATGTTTATAAGAGAGATAGGGGGAAGGATTAAAATATCTTGATTACTTTCTACAGGAAATGATATTGGGAAGAGTTCTTATGGTGCTCTAAATGTCAAAAAAGCATTTGAATATGCTTATCTGGTCCTAATCAAGGCTGTTCACCCCCGTCCAATACATTACATAGACACCAGGCATAGGTAAGTGTAGTGTTTCAGTCTCTTGGTAAAACATTAAATATTCCCTCGTTAGCTTCTGTAAGGCACAGGTTTGTTTGGTACTTTTTTTTTATGCGAACCGAAGTATGAATACCAAAACATAATCCAATGTTAAAGAAAGTAGCACAGCCCTTTTACTCTGTTCACCTAAGTTAATGGGTCTAGAGTCAGATACTGTGCGAAACTAATCCTAGTGTGTTCGGAGGTCGGACATTCGTATGTTAATGTTATGAAATACTGAACACGTACAGAAAATTGAAATCAAAGCTGACACAGCTTACTGCACAGGCCAGGAAATTCAGCATTTTTAGGGTTAGACCATTTGGCCTTGGATTTTTTTTTCAGATTTTCAAGGGCACAAAGGCCAAAAAAAAAAACAGGAACAGGTCTATATGTTATTCATTTAACTGACCGTTTTTAACGAAATAGTTGTGAAATTTTATCAGTGAAAAAAACTTCAATTTATATATATATAATAATTTATTGGATTTATGGAAAAACATTTTGTAGTTTGAGAAACACAGAATCAAATAGGATGGTAGAAATATCTAATTTTTTAACAAGTTAAATGTGTAAGAAGACTAAAACTGGTGTAATATCTAATTTTTTAACAAGTTAAATGTGTAAGAAGACTAAAACTGGTGTAATATAATTTTTTAACAAGTTAAATGTGTAAGAAGACTAAAACTGGTGTAATATAATTTTTTAACAAGTTAAATGTGTAAGAAGACTAAAACTGGTGTAATATCTAATTTTTTCTTGTAAAATCATCCAAGACTGTATTTAGTCTGTGTGACAAAAGAAATTAATTGAAAGGTAGTGAGATTAGCCTGGTTTACATGATGAGTGTGTTTATATATCAAAGTTGTTGATTATTTTCAGTCACAAACTACTTATCAATGTTAAAGAATTAACTGACTTTGTGATATTTTTTATGTTGAAACCTGTACAAGTATTAACACAGACTTATCAGCCATAATGTGTGTGTTGTTTTCACTTGTAAAATTTGTAACACTTACACATAAGTCCAGATATGATGGTTTTCAACTTTATTACTGTATTGTTGTAGATTCTGGTGTTATTCTGTACATGTATACTATGTTTAATGACAGCATCCTTGGAAGAATTGTTCGTGTAACTGACGAGGTAGTGGAATATCGCCAGTGGATACGCGAGACGTTTCCCCTCAGTGATCCTCCTGGAGAAGTCTTTACTATCCACTCTCCTCCTATGTCCCCAAAGAATTCCCTTCTTCAGACATTTGACAGTGTAAATAACGTTAGGGTACAGTAAGTGTCTTATTGCTAAATAGTTTCAAGTATTTAAGATGGCTAGAATTAAAATTTGTAAAGTAATATAGTATTTTTATGTAGTCAACGGTGTGATTAAAAAATACACATATTTCCTTTAGTTTGGTTAATATATTAATCACGAGTTTTTTTTTCTCCACAACACATCAGAATAAGGAACGTATAATTTCTACGTAAAGAGTGGAATGTGTTATAAGTACCATTAATCTTTCTAGAAAAAATCCAACCCATGGGACCAATGTTTTTGAAAAATGCCCCGTAGTGTATCTTGATAGTCATTCGTCGAGCTGCTCTTCACTGTGTAGCACACCAGCAAGTTCTGGGTCCAGCATTAGTAGTGACACGGTAAGGGAAACTAAACTTTACGTACATTGTGGTTCTCTCTCTCTCTAAACTGTCTGGTAGAAAAGTTCAACGAGGGTTTCTTAGATCAGAATCATAAACTATAATTTACTTGTAACCTTCTGTGAATACTTTGAAGTCTTTTTTTTTTTCAATAGGATTCTGAAGTTCTTTGTGATCAGGGCCAACAGGTGACCAATGGAAGGAAGCCTCAGAACGTGCAGCACATAGTCGAGATCCAGACAACCTCTAGTCAGTCAGCTAAAGGTGCCAGAGGGCATTATAGTAGGCCACCACAGCATGTACAAGTCAGTAGGGGGCCTCAAACTAGCACACAATCTTCAGAAAATAGTGAGAAGCTTGCATTCCACTGGCCTAAGCAACGCCGTTTCTCAAATTCATTCAGTGTTCCACATCTAGGCCAGGGTTATCTCTGTCCTCCAGCCACAGCTGGCAACCAGACCAACTGCTACAGTGGAGGGGGTGGACAGCGTTATCGTAGTTTTTCCAATAAACGGAAAAAGAACAACAACAACAAAAAATATGAAGGCAACAACTCAGTCAAATGATCTCGGTTTTTTTATAGCGAGTTTGCTACTGCCAAATTTGTAATTTTTGTGTGAGAATGTGCTTTGGAATGATCAGTTGAATATTGCTGTTGTTTTTTGTCCAACTTTGAGGTGTTCTTAGATTATTATGGAAAAAAAAAATTGTTTCATCATTCTCATCACAAAATGCGTGTTTATCATCTTCATCATCAAGAAATAAAACTTGGCATCAAATATCCATGAACTTGGGATTAGAGAGCTCAGTTGAATGGGAATTGTGTGTAATTACAGAACTTACGTTATTAACAATAATAGAAAAACATTAGACAACTAGAAGTGTATAACTGTGCAACGTCTGCTATACCATAATAGATTTGGTTTGATTATAGAGGAAGGGTTATTGATGACTGAATAATAGTGGTACAGAAGTATCAATATTGGATGTTCAAAGACATTAAATTTTTATCCCCACCTCCCCAGTACTTCAGTCTAAATATTTTCTTTATTTATACATATTTGCTTTGGTCTTTTTTTTTTCTTCTTCTTCTTCAAATTTGTACATAGCATTTATGTACATAAATCTGTAAATATGTTACAGAGTCATTCGTGTGACTAGAAAAAATATTTTGTTTTGAAAAGGACAAATAGTTTACTATAAAAAAAAAAAAAAAAGCTGGTTCTTGGAGCACATAAAGAGTATGTAAACACTCAGTTCACTTATGTTCATTAGTAGATATTTAAAATGCACTACGTTATCACAAAGATGAGATCCCCCAATACAGGTTCAGCTCAACATTTTAAATTGTTGTGTGTGTGTGTATATATAACTTGTGTGTACAGATTTAAGACGACAAACGGTCATTCCCTGCGAAAGATGACAAGTATGAGCAATTCAAATAAACAAATTAGCTAACTCTAAAAATGTCAAATTTTGAAATTTGGTTCTGAAGAAAACTCCTCAGTATAGAATTAAATTATTTGTCAGATTTATTTGGTTTGTATTTCATTTTGATCATTATAAACTTTTATATTCCTGATGTGCACTAAGAAATAGACATTTTTTAATGAGTGCTAATATATATTAAAAAAAAATGGTAAATGAAGATTAGTGTTTAATTTATTTTACAGTTACAGTAATTAGATATAATTGTATCATTGTTGTGTGAAAAAGATTTAAATTCAAGCTTTAAAATTCATAATTTTTTTCCTGCAATTTTTGTATGTTTTTTCTCACATGCTATAATTAATTTAACAAACAAAGCTTTGGTCTTGCTTATAATTTAGAAATGTATAAATCTTGTCAGACATTTTGATAATGCAGTAATACATGTTTACTCAAGTGATTTAGTTAAGGCTTAATATATAAAAGCACACAGTAGTTAATAAAGTTCACAAGATGACTTTTTTTTTTTTTTTTTTTTTTAGTCTTAGCAATGTAATAAACTGTTGCCTTCTCAATGTTACATACTGACATATACATTTTAAACAGGTTGAAATGTAATTTTGAGTAAAATCTTATCCTAAACTTTGAGTATTAATGTCATCATTCAGCTAACTTGAGGTTATGAGAATGAAAATATATACAGTTCTCTAGAGCATGGAGTATATAAAAAGCAGGACGATTAAGACAAACCACTTAAGCACTCACCTTTTTTTTCTTTTTAAAATTGAGTAACTATGTAAAGCCACTTACCAGCCCATATTTACCTAATTTTTCTGGGTCAATATCATGTCTTTTTAAATATCAAATTGTCTGCTTGAGAAACCTGTTATACCATCACCAGTAAAGTTTTGGTTTATTGACAATTAAAAATGTGAATCTAATTGTTTGGATTTTATTCTGCATTTCTGCTCATTATGCTTTCTTCTGTTTTTGTTTTGTAATTGTACGTAAAATTGCTAATTATCATGAAACATCAACATGGCATATTTCAATGGAAAAAAAAAGTACGTTTTATAATAATGTGTTTTAACATAAATTTAGTTGATACGTGGTAATGAAGAACCCCGGGTTCTTTTGTGTGTGTGTGTGATTTTTCAGCTACAGCAAGCACGGTTAACATCCCTGTGTGCATTGCTTGGACCTGTCATGGAATTGTCTTTTGAGAATTACTTTCAAATTCATATTTCATTTATAAAAATGAAACTTGTTATTATTACTAATACATACTGGAAATAATTTCACTGTCTGAACATCGGTGCACGTAAAGAAATAGAATTAGAAACCAAAACTACAGATTCTGATTAATAGGGTTAAAGAATGTAATAGTAGTTGTTAGGTCTGGTTATTGAAGTACAAAGTGATGTGTGAATGTACTGTAAAGAAGCTTGTTATGGACAGGAATTCCTCTATCTGTTATTATAGTTTATGTATGTCAATCAGGTGTTAAACTGAATATGATGCTGTTATCACACACAGTGAATAATGAAAGCAATTTGTGTGTGTGTCACGGGACAGGTTTCTTGTAATGCTAAAACAGTAAATTAGAAATTTTAGTGTCTGAATTTAGAAAACCAGATTGGTTACTGTTAAAAATAATTTGATAATGCAACCTGTCGTTAGCATTTTTGTCCTTTACAAACCTTCATTTAAGAAAAACATCATCAGTCAGAAGTGATTCTGCATTCACGGGAGCCTTAATTTGTGTGTACGCTTGCACGTATGTATGTATCTTTTATGATTGGTGATATAAGGAACTCTGGTCAATATCAAGTAAAATTTGCAGCATAAACCTTGTAGTGCCTATCATTTTGATATTAAGTAATTACTATTCTGTATGCTGGCAGCTGTTTAACATTAGTAAATGAATTTTAACTGATAAGTAAAATGTATTTTTTTAATCCTTAAAAAATCATGACTATCCTATCTTGACAGTAAAAATTGTGAAAGATCTTGTGATCCAAAAATAATTACTAGTCTTAAATGCATTGTTTGTGCATCATATTTAGTTTGAACTGTATGTAGAGAGAGATTTCTGTGCACTTATTTAAAAGAAATCAATTATACACAATTCTTTCAAAACTTTCATTGATGTACTTTATTTCAAGACACTCCATGACAGGTTTTAAGTTGATTTTAACAGCCTTCAAAGTAAACTATGTAACCATTTTGATGCTTGTTTTATTCTTAACAAAACAGGATTCCTTAAAGCCATTAATTCAGTAAAGTTTATTAGATGATCATGGGTTTCCATTGGTGTAACAAGTTAAAAAAAATTCAAACATGCTTAGTTTTGTTTTACTGCAAAGTTTGAAATTATTGTTTGTTTGGGTCGATTGGATTTGAAAACCTGAAAAACCCTAAAATTGTGTTTTTCATTCAAATGTCTAGTAAATTTGAGTTTAACTTTATAGTACTTATTTCAAATAATACTAAAGTTGTGTAAGTTCCAGATAATTAATGAATTAAATTAATAATTTCAAGGAATTCTAGCATCAAGTAAACATTTTCCAATTAAAAAAAAAAAAATCCTTGAAATAGCAAATATAAAAATGTATATGATGTCAAACAATGTGTAAGAAACCTGTAATGGCGAAGAGAAACTCGTATTTAATTATTTCTCAAACCCAGTAACATGTTATTGCTTCCAAAAGCCAGAATGCATTATTAAACTTAAATAACTTATGAAATAAAATATAACTTTCACTCTCTCTTTCCCCCACCACCGCTTTTGTCAATCATTTAAACATGCAGCCAACTGGAATATTTACTGGTAAAAAAGTCTAAAACACTACCGGGAAACATTGTGTATGGAATAAATAGATCGCTAATACTGTTACCAATGTTCAGATTAAGATTCACGAGGTTAAAAAATGTGAGAAAATTATTTCTATTTGTTTTTAAACAAGTTTAGTGATCATAAAAAGCAAAACGATTGAACCAATCTTATATTAATATCATGAAATTTGAATATAGATTGATCTGATTTTGTCGTGTAATTCACTACTATCAGAGTTTGTGAAGTGACTTGAGATCTTGTTTCAGAAGAAAAATGTAAACATTTATACAAAATAAAAACTATATATATATATATATAAAAGAAGAATTTTCCAGTTAAATTGTTCTTATGTGATGAAAAGTATATCGGGTATTGATTTTTGAAAGTATAAAAAAGCCGGAATGGTCAGTTAAAGTTACTCATCTTAGACATGTTAAAATCGTGGATGGCTGACGTTAGTAATGTGGTTAAACAATCGCTTTAGATTAGTTTATTATTTTAATAGTTATAAAAGTTCGAAAATTGGTTTAAAAAACAAACTACAAGTAAAATGATGACGTGGTCATTCCTGAACATGCGCACTTAACTAAGCCGAACGAATGGTTTAAACCCTCGAATGTAGGGTGAATTTAAGGCGTTCTTCCAAGAGTGATGCTTCAGTGAAAATAGTAAAGTTGCCATACGTTTCCTCACACATTTTTTCTTAAAAACGTGTCTGAAATATGAAGATGTTTCCGTTTAATTACTTGGCGTAGATTTAAAACCTTTCTTGTACCTTATGCAGTTATATCGTTGTGATATTTTATTATACAACTAAGAGTATTCTAATTTTTCTTAACCAACATTGTTCGGTTTGGTAAAATTACACATAAATAACTTCACAATAGGCCTAGTACAAATTAGGTAGGCCTAGTACACGGAGAAAGTATTTCTATGTTTTAGGCTTAGACCCGAAATCTAGAACGTATTGTTACGACAGCGGAAGTCACGTGACGCTAGTAACA